CAGGTGCATATGTGTGTGCCTGTGGAGGCCAGAGGTCAACCTCATGTATCCTTCTTCAGATGCCATCTGCTTTACTGTTTAGACCCAGTCTGTCACTGAGAGTTGGAGTTTACCAGTTAGGCTAGGCAGGAGTCTACCTGTTTCCACCTCCACAGATGGCATGGACTAAAGGTGCATGCCACCACACCAGGCATTTGTGTGGGCATTGCAGACTGAACTCAGGTTCTCACATTTGCATGGAAAGCACTTGACTGGCCAGGTTATCTCCCCAGCCCCTCAGCCGGCTTTAACCCACTGCAAGCTTGAAGTGCATCACCCTCAAAGCACTCATGAGGGCCAGCAATGTAGCTCAATGGTAGTGTATTTGTGGAATGCCCTAAGTCCTAGATTCCACTCAAAGAAAAAACAAGCAAAAATCCATCAAAACCTTGTTTGAAAACTGAATCTCCTTCCTCTTCTAAAGTCTCTGTCACTTTCTTTGGGAAGATAATTTACTTAATGAAGCAAGTATGATTTGAGTTTTGTTAATTAGATAATAAGCATTTTTGATGATCTAATGCTAACCCTAAATTATGGGGGCCCAAAGAGTAACCAAGGTGTGTTTAGGTCACCCACTATCTAGTGTGGTCCATCCCTAACTATAGCACTTGCCCAGAAACCCAGACCCACCCAGGGGAGCCCACAGACTAAGCATAGCTGGCCCTGACTAACAGGAGTAGTGGACCTTAGGAAATACTTCCAAATGTAGAAGGAAAAGGGAGTGACTGTATGGGGGATGGGAATGCACAGGAAGTAGCATGACGGGAAAGAGACACAGGGACTGTCCACTGTCTGAGCAAAACAGCAAAAAACTCCTAGCAAACCAGGTCCTGCTCTCAGGAAAACAAGTGCTCCTAAGAATTGCGTGTTTCCGTACCGCATGCTCTCCAGAAGTACTGCATACACTCTTCACTCCTTTCCTTCCCCACTGTCTCTCTGCCAGCCCCTCAAATAAAAATAATGTCTTTTTGTATAGGCTACGCTGGCCTCAAACTAAAGATCCTGTTGTTTCTATCTCCTGAGTGCTGAGACAATAGATGTGTGTCAGTGTGCCCATCAAAAATATAATCCTAAAGAGCTCTGGATAGTATGGTAGTAATAAAAGAAGCCACCTGTGTGAACTATTCTCTGGAGAAATAAAATCACTAGTAGATATTATCTAGATAGACAGACAGACAGATAGATATAGAGATAGATAGATAGATAGATAGATAGATAGATAGATAGATAGATAGATGGATAGAGATGAATAGATAGTGTACATGAGTGTGCATGCGTGTGTGTGTGTGTGTGTGTGTGTGTGTGTGTGTGTGTGTGTGTGTGTGTGTGTTTGTAAAGGGGCAGATTATAAGGAATTGACCCATTTAGTTACAGAGGATGAGCAACTCCAAAATCTACAATTGGCAAGCCAAAGCCTGGAGAGAGCTACTGACAAGCTTGAGACTTTAAAAAAGCCAGTGTTTCTGTTGACTATGAAGGTAGAAAAACACCAGTGTCACATTTTAGCACCAGACCAGAGAAATCAGGCCTGCAGTAGGTTGGATATGGCCCATGTATATTGGGAGTTGTCTGCTTTACTCAGTTTACCTACTCAAATATAGCCATTATCCATAAGTACTATCAGAGATACACCCAAGAAAACCATTTTACCAGATCCGTGGGCACCCAGAGGCCCAGTCAGTTAACTCTTACAATTAACCACCATAACCTCCACAGTCTTTTGAGCATCCAATGACATTCCAACAAGCTTATCACTAAACACTCAATCTTCTGGGACATTAACAAAAGTCCCCCCATTAAATCATGGAAATTCTGGGCGATGTCTCAAGACTGTAGAGATACAAGTTAAATAGCTCTTTTCTATAATCTTGAGATAGCAGGTGTTCCAACTTTCCCATTTTTTTCCAGATTTTGAAATGTGTGTGTGTGTGTGTGTGTGTGTGTGTGTGTGTGTGTGTGTCTGTGTCTGTGTGAAAGAGAGAGATGACCTAAATGTAAGCAAGACACTCACATTTCATTTACTTATATATCAATAATCAGACGGCAATTTCATATACTGTTTTTAATGTGCCTCCATTATTTTTACTGTAGAAAGATGTGTAGAGTTTTATACTTGTGACATAATGGTGGTGCTTAAATTATCTCAAATTTAAAAGCAATTTGGCTTTCCAACTTCCAGATTAGGGATATTCAACCTGAACTGTTGCCAGTTGCAGTAACACTGTCTTCAGGATTGGTAGCTGACTTACCATTATGACTCAGAATATGTTGATCTGCTCTGGCGGGTGAGTGCATGTGCAAACCAGCCGTGGCTAATACCAGACATGCCTGGTAGAAGCTGTATAACTCAGTGTCTAGTCTAACTGCTCTGCCCCTTTCTATGTTCATTTATAATATTCAAGTATTAATAATAATACCTAACTCTTAGTAGTCAAAAAATTAAATTAGTTAATGCATATCAGTAGATAAGTTTATTGCTGGAAGGGACATGGAATATACAAAAAAAATTGCAATGTTTATAACTGCATACTTTTTAATTGTGAAATGCTATTTCAGCCTTGGCTCAAAATCACTTAACTTTGGTACATTTTGAGGGAAAGTGTTCATCCAGAACAGTAACATGAACATATTCAATTAGCCTACACTTTGGATAGACTAAAACCAAAACTTCAAAGCTCTAGCTGGCTTGAGGATGATGCCAGATTTAGAAAATGAGTTTGAGAAGATGAAATAGAAAGTAACACATTCTAGAATATGCATGGACCACAGAGCTCTGATTCACTTCACTACTTCTGTTCCGTTTAGTTTGTCGTAGTCAAAAAAACTGTTCATATTTTAAGTGGTTCTTTGGCATTTTAACATAGAAAACATTTGCAAACAAACCAGTGTATCCCACAGCAGGCCATGTTGGAGAATTCCCTGTGAAGCTCTTTGTCAGAATTTGAAGTGTTGGATATGTAGGGTGATTGGTATTTAGGGGAATTCACCTGACTGATGGAACATCATCCTTTGGTAAGTCAATAGGACTCAAAACTTCTGAGCCAGTTGATGGAGCAGCTGAGTCACACAACTCTCCTCTCTATTTGTGCTAATCTCTGGATTGCACAAACAACCATGTCATTCAACAAAGGATCTTGTCACCACTGAGATAGGTAGTGTGCAAGACATGAAAAGTGTTTTTAGGGTGATACATGAAGAAATCCTTTTAGTATTTGAGATGAACCTAATGAGTGCTCCAGTGTCATTAGGGTATGGTTGATATATTGTGCATGCCAATAAACTTATCTGGGAGTCAGAGAACAGAACAGCCACAATATTAAACATAGAGGTTAAGCTTTGGTAGCACACACCTTTAATCTTAGCATTCCGAAGGCAGAGATCCATCTGGATCTCTGAGTTCAAAGCCACACTGGAAACTGCCAGGCATGGTGACATATGCCTTCAATCCCAGGAAGTGATGGCAGGAAGCTGGAAGATCTATAAGGCGTGAGGACCAGAAACTAGAGTCTGGTTAAGCCTTTAGGCTTTTAGCAGCAGTTCAGCTGAGATTCATTCTGGATGAGGACTCAGAGGCTTCCAGTTTGAGGAAACGAGATCAGCTAAGGAATTGATGAGGTGAGGTTAGCTGTGGCTTGTTCTGCTTCTCTGATCTTCTAGCATTCACCCTAACACCTGGCTTCAGGTTTGATTTTATTAATAAGACCCGTTAAGATTCGTGCTACATTAGGGGGCATTTTACCACTACAATTCACTATTGCTGACTATAGTAGAGGCTCTGATACTTCTGGGGGGGGGGGCTGTATAACCTTCTTATAGGGTTAGTAACCCATAGGTAATGGAATAGAATGTCTCTGACTCATGGCTTTCTGTTTGCCTTTATCAGTTTAGTGGTATGTGAAAATGTTCATATTACCATTAACTTGTACTTCTATCAGTGATTGTTTTGGTTTGAAAAGTAGATTCTCACATTTGCAAGTTCCTCTGTCTGAAAAGCCGGTCACTAAGCACATATCCAGACCTAGTGTTGAAGCTGATTATATTGGTCAATGTGATGATTACCTTAGGAAAAATCTTCCTTTAACTGAAGAGGAATACTTTCCTCATTTACCAAGAGACTCCAGATAGAGGCAGATTGAATGGAGTGATTCAAACCCAGCATCGCCAAGTGCATGCTGCTGCTGTCAATGCTATGGCTTGTTTCATAGTTCTGCAACAGGGCTGCCCTGTGAATACCCTCCTTCTCTCTTGTTCCTAACTTGAAAATATATGGGTCAATTTGTATGCATTGGCCTGTTTATATTCATTCTATGTATTTGAAAAATTTCAGGAAAAGAAATTTGATCATGGTACCTCTATGTTATTATTTGTTTTCTTTGTTATTCTTATATTCTGTTCTTAGCCACGGTTATGCTGGCACATGCTTTCTTCAAATATTACTATAAATTTAGAATGCTTTTCTAATCAAAAGACTGTTAGAGTGAAGCCAGTTTTAGTTCATTATGAAACTCTGCACTTTTTCTTTTTGGAGAGCTTAACTCAGAATGCACGGGGCTGCGCCTCCTTGTATTTTCCATTATTTTTTTTCTTTTCAGAAAGCATGCCATTCATTTAATACTTCATTACAGCCCAACTGCAGTATGTATACATGGCGTGCAAAATGAGCCATTTTGTTTTAAAACAGATTGCAGATGAAAGGAAACCATTCATTTCTTGCTCGCTTGCTGTAATTACTAGAGCACTAATTACTCCAAATCACTGACACGCAGGGTCAGGGAAGATGACAACAGAAGCATCAGAGGAAAGATGTGGCTCACTGACTGTGACAGATTTTCATGTTCTCAGCCATGCTATTTTTTATGGCTACTGTTTTCCAGTTTGAGGGGGGTGGAGAAAACACACACACACACACACACACACACACAGTCAAGATTGCTCAATGTTTACTATTATTTCATTCGCAGTTTGACGGTGAGAACATGTATATGAGCATGACAGAGCCGAGCCAGGACTATGTGCCAGCCAGCCAGGTGGGTTAATTAATCTTCTCTGCCTTGTTTCAAATTGTAATTAAACAAATTCAAAGAGTTGCATTGCAAATGAGTAGCACTATCAGTAACTGCCGCAATCAGGAATAATCATAATTTATAAACAAAGCATTTAAGCCTTGTTTCCAGTTAATGAGATGGAGCTGATAAAGCACCAGCTTTGGCATTTGTTGGAGGATGCTACCTTGCTTCCCCTCCAGAATGGCAAGCAGCTGTTTTGCCAGCATGAGCTTTCCTAAACAGTTGTGTTACCTTTAGGAAATAAAGTCTTTACAGGTGCAAGTTATTTGTGTTTCTGACTGTGGATGAGTTTATCATTGTAAGCAACACATGCCACCAATAGCTTCAATTATCAACTGTTTAGGGCCATTTTCAAACACGCATTATGTTCATCACTGAGGTATTATGGCTAGTGAGTCCTAGATGGCTGCTTTTAGGACTTTCTGGGGGGCAGGGGAGAGAGTGGCTTTTAGGTCCCTGAGCACAAACATGATTGAAATCTTTCAAGGGCACCTTTGTGTCCATTTCCCTAGGAAAGGTTGACAAGGTATTTAATCATGAGAAGTGACAACAAAAGTGGAATGGGAATGTAAATGGTTACATTTATGAAAGTAAATGCTTGCCTATTTATTTTTAGATACTTAAAACCGGGCCCTCTAATTCAGAGAGGGCAGTTAAAGCAAAATTATAACTGCCCTAGGGTGCCGGGATAACATAGAATATCTGAACACTATAAGCAAAAATAAATAAGCGAATAAATGAGAGTAGGGAGAGTTCACGGGAGCATTTTGTGGACATGAACCTATTTTTTTCTTCAATGGAAAAAATCACATTTGCCTGGGATTTCAATAGCCAGTTACTGAAAGCATAAACTCCCAGGTAGTAGTTTTCAATACCTATTTATCTGCCTGAGTTCATTTGATCACTGAGAGGAGAGGGGTGCAAAGGGGCTACGTACAAAGTCATTTTCTTTCATGGTTGTTGTCAGAAAACACAATCTAACGCATATAACAGGAGTGTTCTCTGTGAGCAAATGTCTTCTGCTTAACTAAAAACAGGCAGGCGCATGTCTCCATGAACTCAAAATTTATTTAGAAGTCATTATTACCACTGCCTTGTCTGACAGACATTCTGGACACTCCACTATATTGTCCAACCATAAAGATCATCATGAAGTTCAAAGACCCGGATTCTGTTGGCTTCCATTCTATTGAAAAGATCAGTGTAAGAACCTCTCTGAGAGGCACGCTTTGCATGTAGAATTCTTCCTTTACTGAATTCATTCTGCTAAGTACCCTCCAGGACCCATAGGTAGTTCTGAATAGGACTGTTTGATTAAAAAATGAAAAATGTTACTATTAATTTGCTTCTAACCATCAATCCCAAAACTGTACTGACAAGTTTAGTATTACTATTAGATTAAAGCAAGCCAGTACCATCTCTTTGGGCCTTTAGGGTTTTGAAGTGTGAAGGCTAATTGAATTTGTTTGAAACAGTAGAAACACAAACTCAATAAATGATTACTGTTATAAAGCAGCTGCTCGCTCGCAGAGAATCATTATGTCCGTCTTAAGGAGTTTTGGATAAAGGATGGCAACTTCAGAATATATGCATCTTTGCAATTCAGCTCCTTAGATTTCTAAATTTGACTATAGTGAAGAATATTAATCCCTTACTAAAATCAAACAACCAGCATTATTTTTTCTTAACATTTTTGTCAGGAGTTCTTAAGAATGTTTCCAATACAGTGACTGTTTACAATGAAGGAATAAAGAGATCCAAATAAATTTTGTGCTTTCTAAATATATGGCATCTTTGCAAGCCAGGAGCAAGGCATTTTTTTAAATAATGCAGAACATATGAAAATGTTTTGTTTTGTTCTTTTTTAGAATGAGTTGTTTTAAAAATTAGAGCAATGAAAGATAGTACATACCCTAGATGCAAATAAACTTCACATATTACCCAAGTCAAATGGCCTTTGCTAAATTTTACACTTAACATTCTTTTTGTTTCCTGCAATATACTGTGTTCAAGAATTCATTCCCTAGTGTTCTTTTTGGGAATTTTAATCAAAGTATCCTTTAGGCAGCCATAAATAGAATCTTAGTCACCCTGTAGGAAAGAAAAGAGTTTTGTTCCGTTTCCTACCTAACATCAAACAGCTGTGTAGTTTAGTAATCCAGGACAAGTTACCTCATTGCATCACTCAACATTATAATTCCTGTTTAGTTTTCAGCTTGGTGCCTGCTGTGGGACTTACAGACTACGTTGCTAAGTAGCAACATATGGAACAGTGTTTTGCTGTGATGCTTCTGCAAGCATATAGCATAATCCTGAACTTGAGATGATTTTTATAGAAAGCCTATGCTGGAGCTGCTCCAGAAATGAAAGTACACTGTAAAAATTAATGATATTCTTTCAGATAGTCTCAAAGGGCTCCTTGCCCTATCTGCTGAGTGCATTCTCTACCTCTTAAGCTAGTGTATACAGACCCTTAAATTTTTTTTTCAAATGGCTCAGTAATTGATAGGTCTTAAATTGAATACCCCAGGATCATAAGACTGACAAGTATGTAAGAAAAGCCCATAACATTGCCACTGCACCCTGGTGCCATGCTTGGAAAACTATTTCCTACTCTAACAGGTGTAACTGTTCTGGGCACTCAGGACTTGGATTTAAACACCATTTAGCTTGTTTTAATCCTGAATGCAATCATCTTACTCCATGCAGTGCAATATTTCTTTTTGTGTTTCCAAAGCCTGTCCAAAGGGACCATTGTTGCTGGATAGCTCTTGACCTTGCAAGATTGGGCTTGTCCAATTTGAGGGAAGATGTGAAGAGATTATAGGAGAGCCAGGTGGAAAGGGAACAGCCTGCTTGTCATGCTTGAGAGAGACAGCAGAGTTAGACTAAGACACAAAGGAGCAGACACATAGAAAGAACAAGTCAGGAGATTCAGCATGAAGACCATTGTTAACATACTTAAGATCTTCCCAAATGAGTAGATGATATTCTTGCCACACACAAGGATAAGAGCTCCTCTGTGATGATGGCCGCACTTATCTGTTTCACTGCAGTAACCATCATTTTATGTTGATGCCCCACATTGTGCTGATTATCTTGAATAGATACAAAAAAATTTACTTTAAAATTTATCTAGACTGCTACACCAGAAAGCATGCCATGGTGGTGGGAACTGGGCTTCCTGCCTGAGCTGGATTTCCACCAGAACCTTCTCCAGGTTCTCAGATACACCTTCTGTGGAGTGCTCCTTACGGCTTACCACATGAAGCTCCTCCCTGGCTCCCAACTGCAGTGTAGCATCTTCCACAGCATCTTAGATGTGTCTTGACTTGATGTGTCAGTGGCCCTCTGAATTAAGTGCATCACAGGGATGGGGACCACCTAGTTGTCTTCATCAGTGCCCTCTGTGGCCCCTGAGATAGTCTATCCTTGGCTATGCATCATTGCTTCCCGTTCTTTCTTCTTCTACAAGCATTTCAGGAATATTCCTTTTCACGATACATCTTCATACTCTGCTCCCTGGTGTTCACTCCTAGAGACAGCATTGTGTGTGCTCCATGCCCCTGCTTCTGCTCCTTACAGTGACAGGTCTGTGTGAAAAGATGGGGAGGATGAGTGTTTTTATACAAGGAAGAGTCCCTTGCTGGGGGATTTTCAAAGTTTTTTTTTTTTTTTCTGATATTCAGTAATGGAAGCATTTAGGTTTCATGATTAAAACCTTTTTTTTTTCCTTAGAAATTACTTCATCCCTGCCCTTGACATTCAGAACACTACATGTTTTCTGTTCTATGTGATTGTCTGCCCCACCCCCATCCCACCCACCCTGCTTCCAGCATCCTTCCTTCTACCATTTCTTCTTCCTTTCCATCGGCTGCTTCCTCTCTGGGGAGTTATGCTTTGCTTGAATGACTTGTTTGTACTAATTCAGAGTCTAACACTGAACCCTAAATGTTAAGCACCCAGATCTAAGAGCATACTCTACATTCTTCTCAGTTTCTGATCCATTTTCTCTCTGCTTCCTTCCAATCTCCAATCCGCACTAGAATTCTGTCTCTTATCTGATATCAAAGTCTCAAGGTCTCAAACAAGTAGTAAAAGCTATGCTTTAGATGACTGTCCCTAGAGGTCCAAACATCACCTCCATGCTCTTCTGCATAATGGTACTATCTGGAAGGGAAATAGGGCCAAGTGGGAGATCCTTACATCATACAGGACACACCCTTAGTGCAGATTGGGGGACCATAAGCCCCTTCTCTCTTGATTCCAATTGCTATCCAGCAGGCCCACCAGTAGCCTAAAGCAACGGGGCTGTCAGCCATGCACTAAAACCTTTAAAACTATGCACCAAAAGAAACCTTTCCCTTTATAAGTTAATTGCCTCACATACTTCTTTATTCATGAGGCTAACCAAAACAGTAAAGTATAGCAGCAGTGTTTCCCTGCGGTAGTAGTGAGCCCTGACTCAAACTACATTTCAAGTACAAATGAAAATCCAGAAGCATCTGTGCATGTAGGGAAACTCTCCCTGGGAACCCCAGGTTTGGTTTCTGACTCTTCTGGGGAACTGTACCTGGCAGACTCCAATTTACCATTTCTTCAAGGTGCAGTGCATGCCTTCCAGTTTTCAGATTCTCATGTCGGACTTCTTTTTCTCATACTGACAAAATCACTACCCAGTCTGTGAGCACAGCCCTGTGTAGGCTTCCTCATCACTTGGACCGTGCTCACCCATGTAGTGTGGACTCTACTTCTCCCCCATGACTTTTGAGTCTTTCTTCTCCTTTCAGCCACACTGTTGTGCTCTGATCACCAGCCTCATGAATTCATCTAACTGTTCACTTCCTCCACCTTTCTGCTTCTCCTCAGTGTTACTGGGAGGTGGACCTCCAGGTCTCGGCAGGGTCTCACATCTTTGCTGTGGAGGAGCAAGCTCCTTACTCTGTGGCACAAGGCCCCCA